TCCCTTGACAATAATATACAAATATATTCCATATATAACTATATTAGCTTAATTAATCTATGCCTAAATTATAATTAGAATAAATTCAATTCAAGAATCCAAACTGGCCTTGTTTTTGCAAGCTCCAAATAACTTATGCATCTCAAAGCTACCAAATATATCACCACGCCGCTAAACTTGTGCGAGATGCAAGTCGGGCCGTTAGACTGTCTCCAACAACCACGACCCAAAATACAAGACACATTCGTCATTTGGATAGCGCTACAGAGCAAAGGGTTCAATATCTATTTTTAGTCTTCTCCAACAACAAGATCCAAAAGACAACCCTTTCTGCAAATGGGTCTCCAGAAGAGAAGATACTCAAATTTGGTTATGCCTCTCCTAGCACCTAAAATGGGTCTTCCATATAGGTACTCTGTTGGAGGCTATAGGTATTGTGGTGGAGACCTCTTTTAGGTTTGGGTTCCACGATGAATCACCTGTTGGAGACAGCCATAGCCACGATGAGTGCACCATATGCACACATTTATTTCCCTGTGGCCTCTGGCCAAGTCACTGACAGGCAGGTCACGACTCGAGTGATGCAGCCGAGCTAGGCAGTTGGCAACACGGCCCACACCTCAAGATGTCAACGGGGAATTCCCCGTCGGGGGACAGCTTCCCATCCCCGTCCCCGTGGGGCAAAAATTTCCCCATCCCCATCCCCGTGAACGCCAACGGGGGAAGTTCCTCAACCATCCCCGTCCCTGTGCGGGGATTTTATCCCCGCGGGTCCCCGTCCCCGTCACAAAATCCAGCGAGACGGAGAAGACGGGGGGATGGAGGATCTGTGGGAGCATGCACGAAACGGAGAAGAGGGTGAGGTACCGCGAGATCCGGCCGGCCAGCTGAGCCGCCGTCGCTAACGGAGGGGAAGAGGCGATGCACAGGCGGCACCGCGTCCAGGGGCAGCCACCACTGAGCGCCACCGCCGACAGAGAAGAAGAGGCGACAGGCGCTGTCAGGGCCAGGAACCGAGCGGAGCCGCAGGTGGAGAAGAGAGGAGCAGGGGCCAGTGGTTCAAGCCGACGCGCACGGGATTGAACGTGGTGGGGCAGCCGCGCCGCTGGGCCACCCGCCCTCTCCCTTGCTGGAGCGGCAGCGCCGTCGAGGGCCGACCGTTGCTCGACCGATGAGAGGTGGAGGGAGTGCAAGACTATGAGAGTGAGAGGGAGTGCGGCGGCAGGAAGGCAGAGTAGGAGACCTAGGTTTTTCTTTATATATGTGGCATTCTTACGTGGGCTTTGTTAGGCTGATGGGCCGAGGGAATTAGTTGGAGGCTGTGATAAGCAGTGAGGAAGCGGGGACGCGAGTTAACGGGGACGAGGGACAGGCTCCCAGACCCACCCCCGCCAGACCCGACGGGGAATGATTTTCCCCTATTTAGTTTCCCGTGGGGATAAATTTAGTCCCATCCCCGTCCCCTAATAGGGGAATTCCCCGCGGGGAATCAGGTCCCCATTGACATCTCGACCCACACCTTTCCAACGTACTGGACACATACCAATACAATCGTCGTTTTACAAAACAACACCATCGACCTGACAACGCGTCCACATACATGAACTTGACAGCGAAATTAGCCCAGTGAAATAGCAAAGTGGCAACTCAGGTCGGTCAAGCACGGCCAGCTCAGAAGAGGTTCTACATGTATCTTTCACGGTCAAACAGCTTCTGTAGTACAGCCTACAAAAGCAAAATAACGATTGCCATTAGCGGAAAGTTGTAACACGATGACAGTCACTATGTATTACAGAACAACAATGACAGACAAGACAATAATATAACAGAAGCAAATCACTAAGGTCCAATCACATGGACAGTGACTCACAGGGCAGGTGGTGTTCAGCTTGAGGGACTGAGCGAGCTCGCGGGAGGATATGAGGAGCTTAACAGGTCGGTATTCAAGCGCCTGTGTTAGAGTGGGAAGATCAGATTGGGGGCAAAGGCCACACAGGGCAACAGCCAGGGGCGCCATTATATATAAGCCAATGGGCTGAATTACAGGAGGTGATAGACACCAATAATAGATAACTATACAAGCCTACCATACAACTATACAAGCCTACCATACATGTGTAACAATATTCCAACAGCCCCCCGCAGTATCAACCGGGAGAGGATCGGACGTTGAGGCTGGATCGGAAGGACCGGAAGACAGCAGTAGGCAGGCCTTTTGTGAAGATGTCCGCATATTGAAGTGTTGTTGGAACATGTAGAACATGAACTTCCCCGAGAGCAACACGATCACGCACAAAGTGCAAATCAATTTCCACGTGCTTGGTGCGCTGATGTTGAACCGGGTTGGTGGAGAGGTATACAGCACTAATGTTGTCGCAGTAAACCACCGTAGCCTTAGACAACGGGCGATGAAGTTCAGCAAGAAGTTGGCGGAGCCAACATGCTTCGGCCACAGCATTAGCAACGCCGCGATATTCGGGCGAGCGAACGCGAAGCATGCTGCCGTTTGGAAGACCAGGACACCAGATTATCGCCAATAAAGGCACATGAAGCGGAGGTAGAGCGCCTAGTATCGGGCAGCCCGCCCGATCCGCGATCGGAGTAAAGGAGAGATCATGAGAGGGAGCTGCGAGTGATCGAAGACCATACTTGATAGTGCCTTTGATGTAGCGAAGAATGCGCGAGAAGAGAGAAGTGTTCCTCCCTCGGATCATGCATATGCGAGCGATCTGCTGACGGCGTCTTGCGATGTCGAGGCGTGTAAGAGTAAGTCTTCAAGACCACCAGCTAGACTGCGATAGAGGGAGGCGTCGGCGACTGGAGGACCCGCCTCTCTGCGGTAGCTTGGGGCTCACTTCAATGGGAGTGGCACGGGGGGTTGCGATCTTTGCATCTTGGCACGGGTAAGAAGCTCCAAGGCATACTTATCTTGAGTCAACATCAAACCGAGGTATTCCGGGATGCAAGTGGACGCCAAGAAAATATTGAAGTTCACCAAGATCGGACATAGCAAAAATTCTTGTTGAAGGAGGCAATGATCTGGCCAAGCAGGCCGAGGAGGAGGCCGTCAGAATGATGTCGTCCACATACGAAGAAAGCACGCAATGTCATTGCAGACTTTGCGGATGAACAAGGAGGTGTCACATCGGAACCGCAAAATCCGAAGAGAGAGGATGAAAGGCTGGAAGCGAGTATACCAAGCGCGTGGGGCTTGTTTAAGTCCATCTGTTGACTTGTTCAACTTGCAAACATGTTGTGGAAAGGTTAGATCAATGAACCCGGATGGGCTGCCGAGAGTAAAGCTGTCTCTTCCAGTACCATTTAAGAAGGCATTCTTCACATCCGGTTGATGAATAGACCGGTTACTATTGATTGCCGAGAAAGAAAAGGCGAATCAGTAGGAGGTTTCACCACCGGACTAAAAGTCTCCTCAAAATCGACACACAGTTCTTTGAGAGAAACCACGAAGCACCCAAGCGGGCTTTATAACGATCCGGTGACCCATCGGACTTAAGCTTTTGGCGATAAATCCACTTCCCAAGTAACAATGTTGGCATTGGGTGGTAAGGAGCACTAAATCCCAAGTCTGTTAGCCGTGAGAGCATTGAACTCTTCAACCATGGCATTCTTCCAATTAGGATCAGCAAGAGCTTGCTTGTAGGATGTTGGAATGGGCGATGGTCCGCAACCTGAAAAGTGGCTGGAGTGCGGAACCCACTCTTGGCCCGAGTAACCATTGGATGGTCATTGGAGATAGGTGGAATGGGTACTTTCTGAGCTTCTGAAGACCGCTGAGAGACTGGAATCGGCGTCAGGAGCAAATGCACGAGAGGCCTGCTGAGGAGCAGGTGGTGCTGGCGCGGGATCGCGCTGTTCGATGGACGATTCCACGACGGCGTGACGGCCAGTATAGACGGTATGATAGGCTTTGGTGTCGTAGTCGGTGGGCGCTGATGAAAGGTGGTGCCGCACGGCCAGCCTTCGCGCGTGGATGTGGCGCGGCGACATTGACGTTGAACCGGACGCGCCGTGCATCGGGGCTGGCCCGGTCAGCGACGCCGGCACTCTTGCAGCAGATTGCCCGAGCACGCCGGGCAGAGGTGCAGGAGCACCAGGGAGCACCGTATCATCATCTGCAAAGTCATCCAAAAACGAACACGAAGAGGCAAGGGTGCTAGTACGAGCGGCATAAGGAAATGTGAGCTCGTCGAACACGACATGCCGAGATGTGATAATTTTGTTAGACTTGAGATCAAGACAACGGTAGCCCTTGTGATCGGAGGGTAGCCGAGAAAGATGCACTCGGTGGATCGTGGCGCAAGTTTGTGAGGAGTGGTAGCCGATAGGTTGGGATATGGCGACATCCAAAAGCCACTTGGAGCGAACAAAGCCTGGTGTGGAGTGAGATTTTGAGGACTTTTGTGGGGTGGAGGTTAAAGAGGTGGGTGGGTGTATGTAAGGCATCGGCCTGTATAGGCGGGAGGAAGACGGCTTGAATCAACAATGTTCAAGAATATTGTTGATTGAGCGGATGACACACTTCAGCTTTTCCATTTTGTGGTGAAGTGTGCGGGCAAGAGAGTCGGAATGAAATTCCTCAGGAAAGAAAAAATGAGCGAAAGCAGCGTGGTTATCAAATTCACGACCATTATCACATTGGATTTAGCGTCGACACGACATCGAAAATGTGTTAACACGTCGTCAGTAGTAGCGCGTATCCTTCACCATTTTGGCTCTTGCTCAAGCTTCGATCTCCCTCCGACTCCCGGACCGGATCGCTCAGCGGATCCGTCCAGTATCCGGTTGGTGGAGAGGTGACGGGCACCGGGTGGTGGGAGGCTGGGGGGGGCTCACGGGAGGGCGCGGCGATGGCGGGAGGTGGCGCCGTCTGCTCGTTGACGGGAATCCGAGATCGGCGAGCCCGTCGGCGCGATTTTGCCAGGCGCCATTGTAGTCGGAGAAGGAGAGGTTGCCTTGGCGCAAGATTGCGGAAGTCCGCTTCAACGCAAGGGCCCGCGACGACTTGTTTCGAAGCGCGCCTGATCGCCACCCGGATGGTGCGGGCGTTTATGCGCGGCGCCATCACCTTGTTCATCGGCCGGAGATGGACCAGTAGAGGAGGATCGGACGAGAGAAACCGTCGTCGCCCACACCGGCGTGACGGTCGCACCTTGGCGCACCATCGATGTGGTGACGGCCACGAACTTGCCGAGGAGGGTGGTGAAAAGCTCACGCCGAGCACGATAATTGGGCGGGTGAAGTTCTGTGGTGATTGGGAGGTGAGTTTTGATATTGATGGTGGTGGCAGAGAGGCAAAGCAGGATTATAATAGAGGCAACAAGAGCCGCGGTGGGAGGAACGATCTCGCCGATCCATGGCAAAAGAGATGAGAACGCCGGGTGGGTGGACAGGTGGAGGGGAACACACGCGGAGAGGGTGGCGGCGCATGAGGAAGAAGAGTCGCGGACTGCGCAGATGAGCGGGAAGCAGGAGAGGATCGGGTATGCTGGTGATACCATGTTAGAGTGGGAAGATCAGATTAAAGGGGCAACACACAGGGCAACAAAAGGGCGCCATTATATATAAGCCAATGGGCTGAATTACAGGAGGTGATAGACACCAATAATAGGTAACTATACAAGCCTACCATACAACTATACAAGCCTACCATACATGTGTAACAATATTCCAACAGCCTGGTTTCTCCCTCTATTGTCACCAAAACTGATCAGCTCACGATCCAAAAGATGCTCAAAGGCCTGAGTCAAACAAGTGTGTAAGTTTTGAATATCTAATGTGATAGGAGGCCTGCTGATTGTGGGTGATGGTAGTGCTTACCCTAAAACAAACAGTGCTTGCATATTTATCAGAAGTCTTGTAGGCGTCTTGTATGGATCTGTATTCTGACAGACAGTTCATCTCAGTTCACTTTTATGTCCCTGATAACAAGGGGACTAGGGGAGGGAGGTGAGCAGTCTACCTTTCATTATGCTGGTGAAGTTGTATGAGCTTTGCTCCTTATCTTCTAGTCTGTGCATGCACACAAGAATGTACAATTCCAAAATCGAGAGGTCTGCTTCAAAGTTTTCATTGCATGAAAATGTCATCACTACATTGCAATGTGATTTGCTAACACAGAATGACAGACAAGTTTGTGTGAAAACAAGCAAATCATGTTGGTCGCTATTGTGCTGTGCAGAAGAGAAATGGAGAGAATAGGTGCACAAAGAAAATCCACATATTTTGCGTTTAGTGATCAAACACACTATAAAACTAAAGGGCAGCCAACAAAATATACCTTGTAGGCTGTCCATCTTGGGTTGCCTCTGCATGGAAGAAAGGGCCTTCAGGAAGCTTTCTATTGGCAGGAATCCAGACTCCATGTCCATATATGACACAGCTCTGAAACTGAAAGATTTGCTTGTAAATATTCAGCTGAGCATATATTCATGATTAATTATTGATGTTATGAAGAGAGAACCAACAAGCTGCTGAAAACCTACAGAAATCGTAGAATGTGGCTTGTTGCATCCACATCCATGAGGGAGTTGAGACATCCTTTGAATTTCTTATCACTAAAAATGCTCTTGCAGCGTATAGGATAAGAAAAGTCTATTGTGCAAACTTTTGCAGTTGTGCTGCCTAAATTGTTCACCCTTTTGTTTCTCCACGATGGAACAAAAAATCCCAAGGGAACTGATTGAAAAAAATATCAATACAGTTCCATTCTGCACGTGGCTAAATTCTACCATGTTTTCATTTCAGCAAGCAAACACTTTTGTTTCATTAGCAAGATTATATGCCATTAATAGCTAAGTACTCCCTCCATCCCAAAATAATTGCACTTCTAGAATTGATTGAGGGGAGAAACCAATACCACTACAAAATCACATATATACCCCTATAAAAAGGTAGGGCAACATGTAATAATTGCACATTGGGAATGGAGAAAGTAGCAAAAAGTACTAGTCATAGGTGGTCTATGACCTAGAAGTGTACTTATTGTGGGACATTTTGAAAGCTAAAAGTACACTTATTTTGGGACGGAGGGAGTATTCAACTAAGATGAGATAAAGGAAAAAGGTTAAACAAAATGCCCCATAACAGTCAGGCTTTAGAAAGGATATAATAAGTCTTGAGTTATAATCGGTGATATACTTTGCTGGTAAACCTGAGTCTTTGGCCACTATAAGCAAATGTTCCACCAACCTGCATTTTGCTAACAAAAGATGGCTTGGATAAAGGAATTCGGGAGCATTTCATGTTTTTTTTTATCTAAAGGGTCTAGGGAAAGCACATACCGTTGTATATCATCCAGTGAAGGAGAAATAAATAAAAGCTTCCTATGAGAGAATCGGGATCTAACCCTTTTCTCTAGGAGTTGATCTGCATCCTAAAAAATGAAACGCCACTGAATATTATAATTATTTGAGCAATGTTTATAATTCTTTGAACAATTATTATAATAACACCATCAATATGCTGCAAACTAAAGTAAAATAATGATTTGTTATGCACATTCAGATTTCAAATTGCCAGCCAACATAATCAACGCTAAGTGATGCTACTGCATTATGACTACTTTATATTCTACTGCATGATCACTACTACATAATCAAGGGTGGCATCTTTTTTTTTGAAAGACCAATCAAATGGCATCAACGCAAAAAAAGAAATCAGTTATATACAACTGACAGGGTTGAAGCTTATATTATTGTTAAATACAAGTAAATATGATGAAGCTTAGTTCATACCAAGCGGCAACTCACACCAATTACAACAGCTTGTGATGTTAGAGACTGCATTGCATCAAGCAAGCTGTAAAGCAACCTCTGTTTACCCTGTAACAAAACAACATGAACATAAGTAATCTTCTCATGTCAAAACTGACAATAGCAATAGTAGAAAGCATGTTATGCCATTAGCTATATGTGCCATGAACGATGATTTTATTAGAATTTAAGTAGCTGACATAGATGAAAAGGGAATGAGACAAACTCAGTTTAGTGAAAGCATAAAGGGCAGTTATTTATCTCGACCTGAGCAAAGAGGTCAAACTCTTCTAGAACAAATAGTATTGTCTTGTGTGCTAGTCCGCACTCCCTGCAGAAGAGAATATAAAAATGAACAGAAATGAAGTAAAAAAAATTATGAACTAAAGACTATGGCTCAATATACAAATATCCATTATGGCATTATTTCAGTAAAGCTCACCGTAACATACTAACATGTCAATCATGAACTCAGTGTTGTCATCTGAAGAAGCCTAAAAGAGAAGAGATCAGAGCTGCCTGTCTACAACGAAATTTCCTACAAAAATAGAGAATAATAACTAGGCAGCAAATGTACCATTTTTGAAAATGATAACTGATGCTCCAATCAAAGCTGCCTGGCAATTTCCTACAAAAAGGGAAAATATTAATATTAGCATGTTAGGGACTTACAGACTTATTCACAATAAAAAAAGTTCACAATGGAGAACAGGAAGGCATAAGCCAAGATTGGAGAACAGGAAGAGTATGTTAACAGAAATTAAACCAACAATAAAACATGCGTTAGAGCTTCCAAAAGTGCTAACCTTCATAGCACAGTTGTCGTCATTATGTAGCATCCCATTTAGTCTGATCTGAAAAGGTGTGCCGCCATTATCCACTCAAAGTGCAAATAACAAAGTCCATAGGATTACCAATTAACAATAGGACACACCAATTCTGGTAAGAATGCATTTGAGTATGATGCTTAAGAACCACACATTTGTACCAAAAGGGCATTCTGTCTTCCACCATTCCTAGTCTCTTCTTTCCCTAAAGATCCTTGATCAAAGAGGTCTTTCTAATAGCATGAAAAGTTGAAATGTTGTCACTGGGGGGGGGGGGTAACTAATCATCACTTATGCACAACAAGCTGTTCTAGCCCAGTGCGAACACTACATCAATCAGTAACACAACAGAAGTTTGTCTGTGAGGTTTAAGTGAGTCGTCATTTGTCATTTCCATAATTAATTAGCACCTATTTCTAGTGATACTTGAACTGAACAGAATGCTGCATTGCACCCATACCACGGAAATCGCATCAGGGTGCTCCTTCTTCAGATCATCAAGAACCATGTCGACCACCTGGAAAAACATGAACTTTCAAACAAAAAGTAAACTACAGTTCCACACCGCACTGCAGAATGCAAATGTGCAATTGCTGACATGCACATTTCATCAAACAGCACTGCTGCGCTGCAGCAAGCAGAAAAGGATACTGAACCAGTGAAGGAACCTCACCGCTGCTTTTCCACACCCGCGGGGACCTAGCAGGAGGATGGAGTTATTGCAGGCCTCAAAGACAGAGCTGGAGACTAGGTACTTCAGCTTGCTGTCCAGCACAAAAGGAGGCGGATTAGCAAAATTATTTCTGGCGAGCCATGCGGGCGGAACGGGTATCTATTCGGCTCACCTGTAGTTGGTGTCCGGGGAGGACCTGAGGGCGGAGTGGACGAAGGCCGGGTCACAGAGCCGCCCCCGAAGCACGGCCTGTGCTTGGCTCGGCACGGACACCGCTGCCACCATAGTGGCGGAGGATTTGCGTCTAGGGTGGGCCTAGGATTTTGAAGTTGGGAATTCAAAATGTGAAGGGCTGTTTGGAATTTTTGTCTAAAGCCTAATATTTAGCATGATAATACAACATAAGAGTAGATGTATAATATATAGCAGATATAACACATAGCTGAGCACACATTCATAGAATTAAGATAAAATTTACCAGTACCACTTCTCCACATAATAGCAAATGTATAATATATAGCAGATACAACGCATAATTGAGCAAACACTCAAAGAATTGAGCTGAAAACCAGTAGTACCACTTCTTAGCCTTTATGTTTGAGACCTAAAATCAACTCAATGATTTAAAATCAGTAAATCAAACTCAAGTAATGCACACCACCTTACTGCCATAGTTCCAGTGTTTCTCAAATATTCACAGATCGCAATCAATAATACATTGAAATGGAAAGCCAACTAACCAATACTCCTAGCTTACAAATTGGATTCACAGTTAGTGGCTTGCTGAAGACTCCAATCGATCAGATATTGTCCAGCCTCGGTGCCTGTGTGTAGGTTGCAGAAGTGCTGCTGCCGGTGCTGGTGTCCAGTCGCTCAGAAGGTCGAGCAGCCGGCCAACGGCCACCCGGCGGCGCAGGCACCTACGCACGCTGCTAGCTGCGGCCCCGCCACGGGCCGCCCACGTGCCCAACGCAGGCGCAGCGCCCCGACGCGGCCCGCCTAGCTGGCGCCCTTGAGCCGCCCGCGCCCAACGTCCTCACCTAGCCCTGCGCACGCCGGCACGCCGCAGCCCGGTAGGGTTTGGTTGGGATTTTGGATTGGGAGGGAGAAACAGAAGCCGGCCGATGGGACTACGGGAGCACCAGGAGGGAGAGCGATGCGAGGAGCGGCCGAGGAGAAGTATTGGGATATTTGGGCTGGACCATCGGGCTAAGGCCCATGCGAGCGAAAATTTTTGGCTTTTGACTACTGTAGTATTTTCGTTTGTATTTGATAAAAATTGTTTAATTATAGACTATTTAGGCTTAAAAGATTTGTTTCGTCAATTACGGGCAAACTATGCAATTAGTTATTCTTTTTATCTATATTTAATGCTCCATGCATGTGACGTAAAATTTGATTTTGTTTCGTCAATTACGGGCAAACTGTGCAATTAGTTATTCTTTTTACCTATATTTAATGCTCTATGCATGTGACGTAAAATTTGATGTGACAGGGAATCTTGAAAAATTTTGGATTTTGGGTGGGATCTAAACAAGGTCTAATTGAACTGAATAATTAAAATACACCCACATATAGTACTGCCGCCTCCATGGCGGCGCAGAAGGAGACGGCGCCGAAGTCGAAGCAGGTGGGGGAGCCGTTGCAGATAGAGGATAAGACTGTCTCCAATAGATGATTTATATGAACATCCAAATTAAAAATGGGTAGCAGAAAATTTAAAATCAATCTCCAACAGGGTACCTATACGGAAGATTTATTTTAGGTTGTCTGAGAGGCACAACCTAAATATGAGTATTCTCTCTCCTGAAAACCCATTTGCAGAAAAAATTCTCTTTTGGGTCCTATTGTTGGAGAGGATGTCGAATGGGTATCGAACCCTTTGACTGTAGCGCTACCCAAACATTGAATGTGTATTATATTCTAGGTGTTATTGTTGAAGATAATCTAAGAGGATGAAAGATGCCTTGCAAAGTGAGGAGGAAGAGGTTGTTGAGTTTGATGACACGGACGAGGAGGAGGTGGCGACGCGGTGCAACAACAGTCTAGATGAGCCGCCCATCCTAATTTTTTACAATTTGACCTTTTTTAAGAAAAATTACGTTTAGCCCCTATGAGAGGTAAACACATCTTTGGACCCTGAGGGTCGGCGCCAGGACTTATGGCGCTGAGGTAACACGTCTCGGCGCAACAGATCTTGGCTCCGAGGTGCCTGGATGAGCACAGCAGGGCAGCCTTGGTGGCATTGACGTGGTCGGTACCTCGACACCAGAATGCGTGGCTCCGAGGTCGGCACCACAGATCTTGACGCCGAGCTCAACGCCAAGATCTGTGGCGCCAACCTTGGAGCCACACACTCTAGCGCCTACCTTGAAGCCATGTATCCTAGCGCCGAGGTACCGGATAACCGCGTGTGGCCGCCACAACTCTCTCTCCCTCTCTCACGCTCTCTCTCTCCTCTCACCGTGCCCGCCGGCCCGCCATCGCCTGCCTCCTCCTCCGCCTTGTTGCCCGCCCACCTCCATCTTGCCCCCCCCATGCGGTCGCCTCCCGTCCTCTCCTCTCCTCTCGGCCTTCGACCTTGTCAGCCTCCTCCCCAAAGGTACACGTCGCCGAGAGCTTGAGGAGAGGCGGCGCTTAGGTGCCCCGACCCCGTGTGTGTTCAGCGAGGCCGCGACGCCTCAGTTCTTGATCCCCTCCTCCCCCTTGGCAGCACCGCCCCCTGCCCCTGCCGATGCGGCGCGTTGCGTGCCTTCCCGGCGGACGAGGCCTTCCAAAGGTACACGTCGCCGAGCTTGAGGAGAGGCGGCGTCGGGGTGGCCGTCGTGTGGTTCAGAACGACCTCCGAGTTCTTGATAACGAGGCGCTTCTACGCGCGTGGGCAGCTTCCGAGGCGGTCCTGCCGGTGTACTACGTCGATCCACGGGTCTTTGCGTGTAGCACGCATTACTTTGGGCTCCCGCCCAGGTGCCCGCCATGCATCCAGGGAGGGCGGACGGGAGGAGGAGCGACCCGGCGGTTGGTTGGCTCGCCGGCGTGGCTTACGGTGGCCAACTAGCGTACCGCCGCACTGGAGTGGAGCGGGAGCTGAGGAGCGGCGGCGAAGCAGACAACCCCAGCAACAAGCAGGCAAGCAAGCAGCGAGGTAGTTCACTAATCTCACTTGCAGCAACCTTGCGCACTGGTAGCCATATGGTAGGAAACTAGGAACGTAGGATTGTACTAGCACATTGCACATTGCTGTGACAAACTAGGAATGCACATTGGTAGCTATGTGGTAGGAATGCAAATTTGTAAAATTTGCAAACAATTAGTAATTTGTAAAAATGTTTTCTTCAGTGTGAATGAAGATGATATAATGGAGACTTTTGTGGCTGTTAGGAAGCATGTGTGGAGATTTGGAAAGTATGTAGTTACTTTTCTATAACTATTTAGGACTGTATGGACATTGTGGACTATTTGGACTATGCAGGACATGTTATGTTGATTGTGATGTTTGATGTGGTTGTATTATGCTCTTTGGACGATTAAATGTTTGGATTATATAATGATGTCTCTGTTTGTAACCGTGGATGCTTCGGAAACAAGAGAAACTTTTACGAATTTTTTCCGTGAATCATTAATTATACTACACTGCCAAAAATGCATAAATATAGTACACAAATTAAATATAAATTCATTAGAACGTGTATAGTCCAATCGTATCGTATAGACGCATTGCAGATGAATCTAGGCTTTTTAGTAACAGTGAATAAGGGTCCTCCGCCGCCACCCCCGCCGCCATCATCACCAACAATGGGAGGATACTGTGAAGAAGGTGCAACACAATTTGCTATGTGGCCACACTACTATAACAAACCAATCTTTTTAACGGGCTACATCCATGTGTTTGTTTTTTGGTTTAATCACCTAAGGCATGTTAGGGTTAGTCGAAGGAAATATGTACTCTTGTTTGGCACATGTTCTCACATGCCATTTTATGTGCTTGTTGTTTGCTTCAATTACCTAAGACATGCTAGGTTTAGTCCAGGACCTTTGTACCCTAGTTTGGTACATGTTATCACATGCCATTTCATGTGTTGTGTGTGTTGAATTAGCTAATCCACTACTTCATTATGTTTTATTTGCACTACATGAGCTCGTTTCACTACCTATGCAATATCAAACTCAATATTATGACAACAAATAATGAAACCAACATCACTATAAAAGGTCCAATAATAGAGCACATTAATCAATATAACAATATTTGAAGTACATGACGACAAACTAAAAGTGCATTACATGACAACACAATACAAAGTCCAAGATTAGACAACATTGTTCGTAAATATACAATAGAACTAGCAAGTTATGAAGACTACTGAGTGCAACGAGGCCACTTTTCCTTCCTCTAGGCATCGGGATTCTCCTCCATTGCTGCCTTCGCTCGGAGCGCACGCTCAAGCTTCCTCTCCCTGTTCTCCCTATGCGAAGCAATACGCCTCCTTTCCTCCTCTTCCTTGTGCTCCTTTTCTAGAGCCTCCTCTCTTCGTCTCTTCTCAATCATCTCCTTGTCCTCTGCCTCCCACCGTAATAGTTTCTACATCCACTCCTTGTCTTTCGACTTGATCTCAGTGTCGATCCACTGCTCAAAATCATAGAGCGATGGAGGGGTCTGCAACAAATGCAATTGTTACAAAATAAATAAATCATGCAAGATTTCATTTGACACAAAATAAATATTAAACAACATCAATTTCTCACCATCTTGTTAATGCGGCGCTGACGAAGCGTAGGCTCAAACGCAAAATTGACACACATCCAATATCTCTGTCTATACATGTCCTCTTCATCGGACTTGGCTACATTGCAAGGATCGCCGCGCAAAAACACATGGGCACTGGAACACCACTAGGCAGAGCCAACGGGTCGAAGGCATTTTTGGTCATCCGGCCATAACTACAATTGAACCAAATTTGTTCAACCGAAAGCAATGAACATTAAACTCTAAACCTAGAGTTTTCTATTTGTTGCACATAAATGAAAACATGATATAACACGATGATAAAAGATTACCTTGGCTTACTAGCTTTACCACGCCTTGGCATCCTATCGTTACGTAATACAAAAAATAAAAAATCACTTTAAACATTAGGTAATAACGTATCTAGGGTTGCAAAATAGACATAATATATACCAAATCAATGCGTAAAAAATGATAAGGGAGAGATGATACCTTGCTCGTAAAGATGTATGGATCAAATTCAAGTATCCAAGGTCAAATTCATCGATTCAAGAGATTG